CGCCCAGAATTCGTTCAGTTGAGCACGAGAACAGTAAAGTGCTACCTCTGAAGGGAAAGGCGCAGGAAATTGACAGTACCTCTTATTTTCCAGTTGATGCGGTATCGAGTACTCACGATTGACCATGATGATCGACTACTTAGGTAGCTATACCTCCGGACCAGCTCTACATAAAGGTAGGTACCTAGTCAGCCCCCACCGCACGCACGTTTCAAACATTGATCAATCAGATACCCGACCCAGTCTGCCTCGCGAGCTTCGATCGAAGCTTAAGCTGCAGCGCACACCGGCCCCGGTCCGCGGATCCGCCGGCCCCGCCGGGCCTGCCCCATGCACATACTTAAAGAAGCATGTACTCGAAGCTACCAAGTACTCTAAATGTACAGGAAAATCGCATGAAGCGAAGCGAAATACCATTATTTTCAGTCTTGGCACGAGAACAAGGAAAATCTATCGGATCCAGGAATCCTCGAATCCTCCGACGTCCCGCGGCACCTGTTCTCGGCACCTCGCTAAGCCTTTTATATATATATATTTTTTTGGGGGGGGTGGGGTGGGGGGGGGGCTTCGCTAAACAATTTGATATTGACATTTGCAGGCTGGCTCCGTGCTATGGTTCCAAATTTAAACGTTGCAAAAATATGCGCTGAAAAATATTGTCAAGTGCATGCGCAATTGACCTCTCTCACCTAAAAAAAAAAAGATTCCTCGCCTGATCCGGATCATCTCGCCTGCTACCATGCGGAGACTATACTATATATGCGTACATGCGTGTCTATATCAACTCGGCTCTATACATTCAATTTCAGCTAATCGATTGCTCAGCATTATGTCACGCTGCGGATCCGGAAGTCTGTATACCTTCTACGACTGCCTATTTAGGTACGAACCCCGGACCCCGCGCCAGCACAACCAGGCTACCGCGCCAAGAAACATACTCGAGCAGGTAGGTAGGTACTTCCTTTATGAGACTAGAAAGCTACTTAAGTAAGTACTTAATTATGTACCCAAGTACTATACTCTACACGTAGGTCAACCCCGTTCAGAGAATTTCTTCGTGTATCAGGTACATACGGGGTTTTTCTTGTGGCCAGACGGGCTGTTTTTCTTGAACCCGCCCCGTACGGAGTATTTTTTTTTTTTTGTTAGCCTCATACAAAAAAAAAAAAATAACTTGCTCAAACTCCCTGTATGTACTCCCTACGGGGGTTCACAAATTGGCAAAAATCTCTCACGGGGCCCAGGGGGTTTTTTAAGCTCCGTACCTCGTATACGGAGATTCCTGATGTTGAGACGTATACCGGTTTAACGCACTGCAGCGCTGAATGTCACCATGATTAATCGAGATATACAAATCTCTTATCTCAGATATGCCCAGGAGCTCAGCATAGCGAAGCGAATGGGTTATGTTGTGACGCCTAATTCATCAAAATTCCCGGGAAATCAATCCCAATCGGGTTAGCGTGCCAAGCATCGATTATGGTTGCCTAGAAAATTGTTGCATGGCATAGCTTCAGGGTAATGTATTGAGCGGTGAAACGAGCCAGGCGTAGTAACGAGCTGGTTCATAGCAGTTGCAATGCGCACTGACACAGTTTATAATTTTTTGTATGAGATGCAATGAACCAGCTTATTACTACGCCTGGCTCGTTTCACCGCCCAATACATTAATAGCGCTGCAGCAACACTTGACATACAAGATGGCGCTGTAGCAACTGTAGCCGGCAGAGAGTTATCTTAGGAGGGGGGCATAATCCTTTACTGCAGCGCCATTTTATGGGGAATCATTGCTATAGTGACAAATGGGTCACAATTGGCGCTGCAGCAACAGTGGCCGCTAGGAAGCCGTCATAAAAGGGGGCCACAATCCTTTGCTCCAGCGCTATTTCGTTGAGAATCGTTGCTGTAGTGCAATGCCGTGAGCAGAGTATCGCTGCAGTGTCATGCCGAAGAAGAGTTATTGCTGTAGCGGTAGACTACTCCGATGGGCGCGATTGTCGCCACAGCATGAGACTAGTCATCACAGCAACGACAGCACCAACTCAACCTTTGCTGATGCAGTGAGAACATATAAAACAATTTATTGTATTCTTATCTATAGCCATCCGTGACCGCAGCTTTAGCATTGACAACAATGCTTTGTTTTGCTCGTCGTTACTGCTCCTGGGGGGCTAACGCAACGCAGTCGCGGGATACCTGTATATATTACCTTGTGGTATTATAATTAATTAACTCTCTGAATTGAGTAAGATATTTATAATTCAAAGTAACTAACGGAGTATTTGGGACGTACGGGGTTTACTTGACATACCTGCCTCACCATATATATTGATTATATATACTGTACCAAAAAGTATCACTTTTTGAGCACGCTCTCAGAACGCTAATTTTGCGATTTTCAAAACAGTTTGTTCCAACAAACTACATTAGTACAGTTATCCTGCTTTTTATGCTGTAAAAACAGAGAAATATGCCAAGGAAACGCTCTACTTACTGTTTTGGTAGCAAGTTATGTGGGTGGCAAGCTAGTAATTGGGTGGCAATAGGTTGGGTGGCAACTCAAGATAGTGTGAATACGTTTAAGATGTTTTTCTCTCCAAAGATACTGCAAAAACTACACCAAGATGATAGCTAAATATTTTGAGCAAGATGACTGCAGTAAGGTAGTTTGTTGAAACAAACAGTGAGTTCTCTCTAGATATTCGGCTGTTTTGCCACCGATTTATTTTTGCCACCCTTTTTCGTACGGTAGGTATATATGTCGAAGGTAGAGAGCAGCGTTGCACAACCTGGCTACATATATGTGTATGATTGCAATTGCCTAAATTGGACGTGTCGACAGACAGACAGACATGCACACCAGACTAGACAGACATTACCAGAATCGCGAACGAGTACTCCATCACCCCCTCCCCCCCCCCAACCTAAGATACAATATATATGCCTCGATCCGGATCACCCGCGCCAAAACCCGTAGTTAACCAACATCTTTTTGCAATTGACGCATTAAAAGCATGTTACTCGAGCACATGTTTCTAGTTACAACCTAGGTATTCATAATTAGTATATGTGGGTTAGCCTGGTTGTTGTGGGTAGCATTTGCAAGCTCATGATCACATATCATTGCATTGCAATTAATGGCCGAATATACACATACTCTACATGGAGGTTACTTACTACCTAAACTACCATATATTATTATCACGCACCATAATCATAACCACGTGCGGATATATATTTATGCACACCTACCTAACGTTACCTCTAACTAAGTAGTACATACCCTAGTAGGTACATATATAAGCACTCGATTGGTATTCTTCTTGGTTTTCGGTTACCCTGAACGTGATCACATGACTGTCAAAAAAAAATTAGACGTCGATGTCGAGGAACTCGAAATTCGAAACGTAATCATTTTCCTTTCTTTTCACGGTTCGGAATAGAATAGAAAAATATAGACTCGCGCCCAGACCCACTGAAAAAAAAAGAATCTCGTTATAAGTAAGTACTAGGTAGGTAGGTACCTACATACCTCTTTTGTATAGGTAAGGAAGAGGAGGTTACATTACTTAGGCACTAAACTTCCTGAAATGGGACGTTACATTCACACATATGCAAGTTACACTGGAGGGGTCTGGGTATGAGACTATGCAATTCATAGTACTTTCGGTACATACATAGTGGTTTTATGACTTCAAGACGCTTAGACGAATAACAAACAATTTAGCCAAGTTGTTGATTATATTTATTATATAATGGATGGAGAGTAAATTTGAATTCAAATCGTACGCGTTGTATATATATCAGACCTAGTGCACGGGGAAGATACAGAACATCTATATATCTCTATTTAACTGCGTTTGAATTTATTTTGAATGTCAGTTGCATGATATAGTAGATGGCCATGCACTAATAACAGCTGCATTCAAGATCGAACTTCTGGATCACAGCTAGCTGTAGGCCTACAAGTCAATCTGAGCTCGCTCCTTATATTACATACCGCGAGGTATAACGTTAATATCAGGTAGGCAGGGAGTGCAGACCAAGGTAGCTGGCAGGCGAGAACTAGAAGGGACATAAGCTATACTTAGTTTTTCATTTGCAATCTGAATTTGGAAAACATGAACATGCATATGCGCTTGGATCGATATCTAACATTTCACGTTGATCTTAACTGTAAGATTTGGGTTTTTTGCAACATGCCAGCTCCGAAAATGCCAATTGAGTCTTTTAGGTCTTGATATTCTAGGCGAAGATCGGTAGTTATAATTAGTCAATCATATGTAGGTATGCATTCGAGCATAGATGTTTTAGTATGAGAACAGGTGTGTCGACTGGAATCTTGAAGAAAATCGCTACGTGAATGAAGCCCGAAGATCACAGCTGGGATTCCGATTACTCGCCAAAAGTGAAGTCACGTTTGACAGAAAAAGTTGAACAAAAGAGAAAAACGAAAAAGAGTTGAGAAGAGGCAAAGACACACTAAGTAGAAATCCAGCCCAAACCTGGATTCGAACACCCATCCAGCAAGAAATCGAATTTTAAACTGGAGACAGCGTAGATGCTGGCCACTCGTCAATTTAGCTCACGGCACACAGGATGAATGCCATTGTACCTACCTACCCCTCAACCTCGAGTCCCCTTCAATGGTGTAATTCTGAGGTCTTCTCCTCATGCCTCAACCACAATCTCCACTCCCGTCCAATTTGGCTAGCCTTCTATAGTTCTCGCTCCACGTTGTACTTGAGTATTTCCGCATGTAGTTCATGAAATTTGATTATCGCGATCGTAAACATCCAAAATTTGGTCTAAAAACGTTAGGATTTCTGCCACACACGATTACCGGGACGTTACGACCCCTCGTTAGAAACATTCTGCATTGTTCGTGCCAAAACTATTCGATTGTAAGCATTTGCAATGAATTAAGCTAGGGTAGTTATATTGATAATTTATTCCGAGATAATTATGTATCTATACCGAGCAAAAACTAAAAACAATAATGCCCAGCCCGGGAATCGAACCCGAACCTCGTGCTTGGGAAGCACGTATTCTACCACTAAACTAGCTGGGCTAGTTGACGGTTCACGGCATTTTTACAAATACTAGTCGATTTTATTTTTGCAATGGAACCATACTAGTCCTCATGAGCAGAATCCCGATTTATTAGAAATTATAAACTGTGGATCATTAATATGCTTGGCCATGCTCGGCTCGTAATTATTGTAGCGTCACATCAATGATACATTCCTTCATGTTCTCGCGCCCAGACTCAAAGTCACGTGCGCGCAATCAATGAGTGCAGTTCCTTCACAGTTCATCATGGTTTATGTACAGAATGTATAGGACCTAGAGAAAAAACTCTTATCTTCAAATAACCGAATATCATATTTTGTGCAGGATCGCGGTACGTAAATAGCACAAAGTGTGTAGTGGACTTCTCATAGGTATGGCGTGTAAAGGAGCTCAAGACCAGAAAGTTAACACTTCCATCGATTGCTTTAAATCCGGATCTCGGCCGGAAATAGCTTCTTCCCCCGCGGTGCCGGAGGGCGTTGGTGCAAAAAAACGAGTAATTTTACTAAACTGAAGATCTAGAGTTGATAAGCATTTAAACGTTAAGGCACTATTGTGATCATGAGAATGTATATATTCCGTCTTCCTACTTCATATGCGCTAATACTTTTTAGCGCTTAGACCGTCCCAAATATAACATGGCGTCATTGGAAGACGGGATGTCCAGATGCAGTAGTTAAGGTTAACACCACACACAATTCATATACTCGTACTACACCGCCTACAAGGCCAATGAATGTACCTAAACAAGAGCGTTTATTCGACCCGCTCCGCCCCCGCTCTCATTGTTAACGTTACCCCTCACTCCCCACACTTCTCCACAGTATACTCTATTCCCCCGCGTTGAGATGTAGCTTCGCATGCGCGTTTTCAAAAAGTGGGGATATTTTTGACTCATGAAGCTTAAGTATCAATTCCTGCTGGGGGTTAACGAGCGCAATAGTTAACTGTCCGTTTATTGATGCTATATATTATGCTGCCACAGATATCTCGCAAAGAATCTTAATTTGGTTTTAAATTCTTGATGAAATAAGCACAAGTTTACTATGATATATGGAATTGACTTAAAAGACAAAATCAGTGTTGTGGCCATCGCCTTGCTGCGCACATGATTCTAACAAAATCCCACATTCCAACGAAGAAGTCAATTGCAACGAAGTCCACAATGAGTCAGCCTAACTATTTTTGTGCTTGTATACGTATATACTCCTTCGTATTCTTGCTGCTCTATACATTCTATCTAAGATAGGCAGCTTGAATCGAATCCCGGGGTCCCACTAAACTCTCAATATCTCACGCCTGGATCGAGGCGATCATGTATGGCTCCAAATGCACTACCATAGCTCAGTCCACATGGAGAGCGGAGCCCAAGTTGACCGTGCATGCGGCCTTTACTGAGCGCAGTTCTCATGGAAAAACCTGGAGTTGCGGGGTAAAGTATTCCCGATCCGAGATAGACCCCACGCTTGCGGAAGATACAAACGCGCAAGTCAGGGTGGAGGATGCAAGCCAGACCGTTCAACTTTTAGCTGAAATATCAACGCCCCACAATATTAGTGTTGATGTAAGACTACTCGTATATCCAAAGGATGAAAGAAAAGACTGTCGGTCGATCAGTTCATTTAGCTTAAGCACAGAATTCTTGTTTCCCTTGAAAATTGGCCTCCGAAAAAAAACGCTCAGATAATTCTTTATCTCATTTAGGTAATTGTTAGTAGAGTTTTAAGATCAATTTGCACATGATCTCTTTTGCTGAACGGCTCTATCTCCTGGCCATCAATGTATATTGATACTGTTCATGGGCTATGATGACAAAAAAACACAGTCACCACATAAAGTATGTATGTAGGCCTATAATCGATTGAAGGGCCATATTCCGCGCGCAAAGTGAATGTAATCCAAAAAACCATTGACCATATCAAAGCGATGAAACTTGAAAATCCGCTGGCCGAAGTAAGGACTAAGTAAGTAAAGGTGGATTGTGCCCTTATTCAAAAGTCGAAATGCTCAACGTGCGATTTGAGTATACTACATGATTTTGTGTACCTTAATTGAGCGTGGCCATATGAGGACATGCCGTTTTCGGACAGCCCACTCGAGTGGTACTACTCTATCAAGCTATATTGACCAGGGTGAAAACCACTTGGAGTGAGCCAATGATGTGGGTAACGCGCTATGCTAGCCTTGGCATGGATTGCCATTTTGGGGCGATTGCAAGGCACTCATATTTACGAGTGCCAGCCTGCTTAGCGGGCTTATTTCTAAGATGAAATTTCACGTATCGGGCCATATGAATGCAAAGCCGTATTTCATTTTTTTCTAGACGGTTTCACAAGAAATTATGGTGAATTTTATCACTATGGATAGTGTTGTATGAATTGGGGGACCGAGAAAATGGGCGTGGCTGCTGCGGCGCTTAACCTCACAGGCATCGAGTGGTCTTATTGAATTCAATTCAAAGCCACAATTTTAACCTCTGTCTGGGTTGGATAGGCTGACTAGCACATTGCTTGATATATAAGCAGATTATCAAACAACGAGCCTCGGTGTATCTCAATAATTGCACTGCAGCTGAGCTCGGGCAGCCGAGAATGTGGTGTTCTCGGTACTTATTCTCGATTGATACAAGCCTAATGACCCATGAAATACTGGCATGTAGTCTACTACAATCCGCAAATGGCTTCGGCCGGAGAAATTGAAGTCCAGAATCATCAGACATCCATACGATCTTTTCACCCTGGTTCACTGCCCCAATGGCCAAGTTTCGAAAGTCGCGCCGGATTGATCGGTTGTAAGAATGGAGTATGCACTCCTTTCAAGGATCTTTGCACAGTCGACGTGGCCATGGAATTCTAGCAATATTTGGATCCTGGACCAGGTCATAGCGGAAGACGGCACGGCTGGCAATCGGCTCCTTTCATGGCATCGCCCTCAAGTAGATACTGCATGTAACAGTGGGGCACTGTGGAGCTCCTGAATAGTGTAAAGTCTTAAGTCTTCCTTTCGTCCATGAACTTTGTCTAATAAAGAGATTGGAACATGCCGAGTACATTAACTAATTAGAGGACTTACTGGAATTGCACTTCGGCGTGCTGTTTGACGTGAAGCGTTTCACTGGACAACATTTGGGCAATTAATCCTCAAGCTTACTAGCGACTGTAATTGCTGCCGCGGCGAGGCTAGATTGATATTTGCTCGGTGGCCGTGGAAGAAATCAGACAAAATGCCCATTCTAACGTTCAATCATTTCACATATTGTCTGAAGTATCCAAGAGAGAGAGAGACTTGATCCGGATTCGTTTTGCCCGTTGGAAGAAAATTTACGGGTTAACTTTTGAACGGCCAACGGCGTGAGGATGGCGTACTACTAGTCTACTCTAGGAATACAGTAAGCGGCAGAGGTAGCTGAGCACTAGCACAGGGCAATGTAAGCTTGCAATCGCGGATTTATATTAGCTTAAAACTAGTTCACATCTGGCCCACCCTTTCTATGTGATATCTTGAAGTGGACTTTCAACCCTATCAGATGTTTATTACTAGTCCAAATGAAATCAAAAGTTTAGTACTAGGAAACACGGCACATGTCTCGGTGTCTTAGTGAATACTGGCCTGTAACCGTATACAAGGTTACCAATGCAACAATTGTAAACCATGTATTACCGGCATTGCAAACGTCGATGTTCAGGGTAACCTATATGAGGCATAAACTACCCACTGACGTCAACCTACAAAGGGTTTGTGGTTCACGTAAAGTATGAAATCTTGACTGTTCGGACTTCTAATTGTTGCATTGCGAACCATAAGGGCCTTTTTCCGTATGAAACTGCTGCAATGTGCTCCCCTGGCCGGATTAATAACCATCCTGCGGCAAAGGGTATCTCCGGGCCACTACTGTGCCGTCCCTAGTTACGGTAGCTCCCAGCGGAATACTAGTTCCAGTTGACTTGCAGAAACTTCGCCGGGCACACCGGCGTTGGGTACGAGTGACAAGGGCCATGTTCAGCGCCACTGGGCCGTTCCGTGTGCCGTGACTGGCGGCTTTTCCACCCGTAGGGTACCGCAGCTTTAGAATCAACCTCCAGTATTATTTTGACATGGTTGCACGTCATGTATAATAAGAAGCTCCTGCCAACTTTTCTACTCACCAAAGACGTAATAGATACTGATGCCTGGCCTTGGTTTCATCATTGCTCGTTGCCAGTATACTGTAATTACACTTCGGAATTTGTAGTTCTAAAATGCTATCGTGCTCATAATGAAATTGAATAGGCCACGGTGAGCTTAGAACAGAAAAGGAATAGTTTTTTCCGAGCGGTAGAATAAACCACCGTGAGCTTGGAACTGAAAAGCAATATTCCCTTCTGAGTGGTATTGCATATCGACTGTTCAGTAGGCTCAAGGAATCATAAAATGTAAACAAGCCTGTGTGCATGTATCACAATGGGTTTCATATTCCTACATACTTCTTGTGGGATAATACGATGTTGTCTGTTCCTGATTTGGTATTCTAGGATATGTCTGAACTTCGCGGTTTAACGACACCCAAGTCTTGTGGATTGGTTACCCACCATACTTCAAGCGTAGCAGGATCTGGGTGGATATATAGGATTCCTCGGCAGATGGTTGTTTAACACGGCCTGAAGGTCTGATTCCCGGACTACATGAATCCCAAGCCTCGTGGGTAGCGAGATTGGGCAAAACTATTGCTTACGCTGGCTAACAAGCCGGTTCATGGGGGGGAAGGGCGAGTGAGTGCCCGACGCTTGATCCCACGTTTGACGTTGGCTAGTTTTTTCGTACCTCCACTTTGCCCCCGGCGCCCACCAACCCCACGATTCCGCACTGGGTCCATCTCCGGCCGCGGTGCAGGGTCCCCCATATTTACCCCATATACAACTAAATCTATATATTTACCCCATATTCCCTTCACACTCTATTTTCACCATCCACAAAAACTACTCTCACACACATTCTCGCAAACACAAGACCTTCACAATG